TAGAAACCTCAACATGTATACATATTATTGATATATATATTAAAACGTAATTCAGCAGAGCTGTGTTCTAGTATTTCATTTAATTTCGTTGTTTTTCACGGCAAAGATAATCAAAGTAGATGAGCCGAGGTGATGAAGTCATCGAGTACACTGCTGTCTCCAGGACTCACCAGACCGTACTTGAGTATTGAGAAACGGTCATTATGTGTCACTTTGGAATAGTAATAGGTGCACTGTTTTTTGTTTGCAGTCTAATGTCTTTGTTCCTTTTTTATTAGAAGAAGAAGGACCACAGAAGCTGGCTATGATTCTTGCCTTTGCCACAGGAGCCAATGCTGTTCCACCGATCGGGTTCTCTCCACAACCTTCAATAGAATTTCTTCACCAAGAGAAGGACTCAGGAAGCACTGCAAAACTGCCCATTGCAAATACCTGCATCAATTGCTTGTAACTTCTCCTGCTCACCTCATACAGAGACTTCAAGGAAAACATGGACTTTGCATTAGGCAATACCCATGGTTTTGACACACTGTAATATGGGAACAGGTTTGTATTGCAATATTCTGTTTTACGATCAAGTTCATGCACAATTTATCACAAAGCAATTCAATTTCTTTCTTTTGTTGTTGTTGTTGTTTTTTTGTTTGTTTCCACTGTGTTTTAATTTAAAAAATATAAACCTGTTGCGTATTTGTAGAAACTGAAGTTATGAGATCTTAAGTACAGTTCACATTTTCAGCTATTTTCAGCAAGTAATATTAAAATACAGTATTTTTCGTGGCAGTTTATTGAGTTCTCCAGATCCAGAAGCTTTAATAAAATGTATTAAAGAAACATCTTGAAAAGAAAACATGGAGATTTGAACTTAGAATCACATCTAGAGACAAAGTTTATAAGCAGACCAAAAACACTTTGGAGGATTTGGTGTAATTCTGTTACAAAGCTTGGCACAGTGTTATTTGACTGGAGGTAGATAATATTACTATTCTATTTGTCCCATCATGTAAAACTGTTAAACGCTTCTCAATATCAATCAACATGGATATAACTACGAATTCCTCCCTTCAAGAAAATGCACAAGAATATATACAATGATTTCCATCATCTTCAAATGGATCAGAAGTGTGCTGAAGAGAATATGTTGTGGCATCACTGATAGTAATATTAATAGATGCAATAACAATATTATTGTTTGTCTGTAACTTGTCTGTAAAGTGTTGCATTATCGTCGTTCCCAAAGCCACCGTCTAAGTCAAAAAGGCCATTTATACTTGGGTTATGTGTTCCTGCATTGCTGATTACACCCTGCTGCCACAGTTGAAGAGGAGTTTGGCCTCCTTGTGTTGACAGACCATGGTTATTCCACTGATTCTGAAATTCAGTGGCAGCCCTTTGAATCTGTGGCAAATAGATGTAATGAAACAAAATAAATGTAGTTCACCAAGAGAATCTAGTACACCTTCCTCCTCCATAAAACTGAACAGATTAGCAAAATGAAATGACACAACTCGATTCAATTCTGCCCACAATCTCTCAATTCTCTGATTATGCACTGACCTGCCAGTAATAACACTACGTCTATTTAACCCTCTCCTGTGAAGCATGAAACGGGCAACACCAGTGTTTTCCAGTCCATGATCACATCTCACTCTAGATGGTTATTTCAAAGTTCTGAGTGCCAGCAATGAATAGTGACAAAACACTTGAGGCTCTGTTGTTGTCCAGACAGTTTACAACTAACTCACACATTGTGTGTAGTCATTGTTAGAACTGCTACCTGGAATTAACCTGGATCCCTCGCTCTGCTGGCAGTTTTGGATCCCTACCAGCAACAATGTGTGGTTCATTTCCAGGACGATGAACAAAACATGTGTCCAGTTTTTATAATTTGCTTTTCCTTGTTCTCTCTGTTCCCTTTCTTGTCGCTTTGCCGCTCCACTTTTATGCTTACATGAGGTGCCACTCATGTTAACTTAGTCCGTAAAAATGCTCGACCTCGTTCACAATCTGTTGACAAGTGACTGATGATGACCATGGTGGACGGCTGGTGACGAGTTTTACCCAGAATACACTTGGAGACACTATCGGCGATCAGCTTGTAAATTTGTGCATAATAAAGTTTAATGTGAGCTAAAATAAAGCAATTCATGCAGGACAACATTTTATTCAATATTTTACACCTACTGCATCACTAAAATCAGTCGGTCTTGTAAATTTTTTAGCAACCATGACTCTGTCCTGACTGGGGCAACCAATATAAAACCCCTGTGTAAAAACGTTTGTCGCTCGAAAACGTTCATCATATCTTCTTAGGGGATACTTTAATGTTCAGGTTCTCTATTCAGACGTGCAGGGTGTGGCTTTCTATTTCCTGACAGCTTCGGCGACAAAGGTCAGTTGAACTATCTGAAGAAGGCGGGGGTTGGCTGCTAAAACTTTCAGGAAATAAACAACCACACTCTCTACGTCGGAATAGTGAACCTGAACATTAGTCCAAAACATTTGTAATTTGGGAGACAGTGCTCATGTCTGGGCCTGCAGAGGCGCTCGAGAGCACGTCTGTCCATTCGGGAATCTGATAGGTTCAAACTGCCAAAAGGGCATGCCTGCATCCAATCTGTGAGCTGCTGTAGCCACGTCATAACCACACCTTGTTGTATTTTTATTATTTTATGAGCACCTGCCACACCCACGGCTGAGCGCATCAGACTACACGTTTCTTCGGACACTGAACATCTCCGTTAACAACAAGTTGACGTTAGATTTGCGTTAGATTCCATGTGTGTAGAAAGCCAGCTAGTTGTTCGCATAGCGCGATGGATCAGTCGTCAGCTTTCCCTCTGTTGATGCTGTTTTGGGCTGCACTTGTATCTGGACACAGACATGGTGAGTTAACCATCTATCTATAACTAACTATCTACACACATCATCTATAACCGCTTATCGACACACCTCACTGGGGTCACTAGTGTGAACCAGCAAAGCACCTTGCTGGTAAAGTTGAAGACCTTCACCTGCGTTCACAGCACACACACACACACACACACACACACACCATTGAATAATCAATAATCGTATAATATTCTACCTAACGGGTTAACTTTAGTGGCGGCATAAACAAATGACACTTGACTGCAGATTTTACTTTTACAACCTGTTTGTTGAATGTCCAGGTGGAAATGGCTTTTAAAGCCTGAATGTAA